ATGTCATGCTGGGTAAGGTGGAGGGTCAGAGAAAAAGAGGAAGACCCCTAACGAGATGGATTGGCCAGGTGGCATCATTGATGGCATCAAGTGTGGCAGTGGTAGTGAGGTTGGCCCAGGATCTGACATTGTTTCGTTCTGCTGTGCATAGGGTTGCATATGAGTCGGTTCCGACTCAATGGCACCTGACAACAACAACAGTGAGTTCTCACTCATCAAGACCCTTTTATAGGACTTCCAAGGAACAGCTAGTAGGTTTGTACTGCCCACCTGGAAGTCAGTAGTCCAGTTCTTACCCGACAATGCCATATGTTGGTGTTAAGTACCACCAAGTCAATTTCAATTTACAGCAACCTTATATAGGGTTTCCGAGGAGCATCTGGTGGATTTGAGCCACCAACCTTTCAGTTCAAACCAACCTTGCAGTCTAGCGCTTATCCTACAGTTCCACATAAGGCAGTCTGTATCTGGTACGTAGGCTATATTTTTGCTGTTAGCTGCCATCAAGTTGGCCTCTGACACATGGCAACCCATATATGACAGAAGAAAATACTTCTCAGTGCTGAGCCTTCCCTTGATGGATCATAGCATTTTTCACTGGCTGATTTCCTGATGTAGACCACCAGGCTTTTCTTCCTAGCTTGTCTTAATCTAGAAGCTCTGCTGAAACTTGTTCAGCATCATGGCCACCTGCCAGCCTCCACTGATGTTTATCTTCCTCTCAGAAGGCAAGAAGTCTACCATGGAACCACTTCTGCCTCAACAGAATAATAAATCTGTAGGATAATCCTTGAAAAACTGAAACTGAAAGATAATGGAAACAAACCTTGTGAAGCCCCTTGTATATTAAGATACTTATTGCTGTTGTAGGCTGTCAAGTTTTTTCTGACTGATAGAGACCCTGTGTAGGGTTTCCAAGGAACAGTTGGTGGGTTTGAACTGCTGACTTTTCAGTTAACAGTCCAGTGTTTATCCTACAGCATCACATCAGGGCTTATTAAGATACATGTTGTTGTTGAACTGTTGTATGCCATAAGAGAGTTTCGAGGCTTGCAATGTTTTGCGGGAGCAGCAAGTCTCATCTTTTGTTATTGTTGTTGTTGTGAAGTGCTGTCGAGTCAGTTCCAACCCATAGCAATCCTATAGGGTTTCCGAAGAGCATCTAGTGAACTTGAACTGCCGACCTTGCAGTTCAAATGGCTTTGCAGTCTGACACATTAACCCACAGTGCCTCCTATTTAGGATAATACAAATACACCTTCCTGTAGTTGGGCAGCACTGGCTGTACCACATATCTGTAAGCACCTGAGAACTCAGCAAGGAAATGCTAACCACCTGTTTGGGAGAAATGTTCATCTTTCCATCTACTGACATGAAGCAAACACTCGCCAGAGAAGCAGTCCTTTTGTTTAAAATAGAAACTTTGAAGGGAGCCAAATTAACACATGACAAAGTACTGAATATCCTGTTCTCCTGGAAGAAGGCAAGAAAAAAGCCTCTTCATTTCTGAAATGAGAAGGAGAGTTGCTGGTAACCAAAATTCATGTTTCCTTTTAGACAAAATTTTCCAGCCAGGCTCGGTGTTACCCGAGTAGGCGATTTCACTTCATCATCACTTGACAAAAGACTTCCAAATTCACGGTGGCAGACACGGCAAAATAAAAATGTTAAATACCTCCTAGCATGGGAGGAGACTAAGCCTCAACGCTCAATGAAAGGTTTGCAATAATAGGATTCACAGAAAAAAAAAGACAGATGGGATTAGAAAATGTTGCAGAGAAGACTCTGGAATGAGATGAGATCAGAGCTGAGCCTGTCTTTTGTGACCTGCACAATGATTCTCCACAGATTGGATTAGGAAACCTCTCCACTAGGGCTTCAGAGCGAGGTCTCCAGTCCCCAGCATTTTGGGGAGAGACGGCAGACACGATGCATCAGATTTACAGCTGCAGTGATGAGAATATAGAAGTTTTCACCACCGTGATTCCTTCCAAAGGTGAGTAAAATTGCCCTTGACTATGCTCCTTGGATGTAACCGCTTATGATGAGGCTCAAAACAATCCCATTCTGTTTTACTGTGTGTTACTCTCAGGGCTCTGAGGGCTGATGGGTTCTCTGTTTTCATGGTATTTGACTTTTTTTTTTTTTTTTTCCCATCAAGGAGGCACTTGGATAAACATCAATCACTGTGAAACAATCCATCTGAGGGAAACAAACACAGTTAAATGACTGCCTGTCTCACTTCATTCAATGCCGGCAACCCAATATACCAGGTGGTGGTAGTGGTGGTGATTGTGTGCTATTGAGTCAGTCCCAAATCATAGTGAACCTGCATAGGGTTTCAGAGGCTGTAAATCTTTATGGGAGCAGAAGCAGATTTGAATTGCTGACCTTGCAGTTAGCAGCCCAACACATAACCCACAATGCTACCAGAGCTCCTTAACATACTAGGAGTGACAGCGTATTGTGAAAGTGATAGCAAATAGTTGTTTAAGGAGCTGGAGATGCAAACAAAATTCCCAGGGCAGCTAGTCTTTCATTTTCTCCCGTGGCATATGGGTTCTGAAATGAGAATTGGCTAGTCCAAAGTATAATTCTAAACTGTGCCAGGTAATGTGAGAGGACATTCTCCCAGCAGGGGCCTAAAGTTAAATTATCCCCTGACCTTGGTTTAATCTCTCCTCAGAGTTCCAGAGCCACCCTCCCAAATCTAGCCTGGAACTAGAGCCACCAATAGGTTTCATGAGAGAATCTTGACTTTTGTGCTTAGCACGGGACTGTGTTCAGTCTCAGGGAGGGGGGAGGGGCTTTGTATGAGAGCTCAGTAAACTCCACGTGCCCAGTTCTAGAAAGCTCCTTTTGCCCTCCAAAAGTGGTTCTCCCTCTTGCCACCTCCATCCTTGTCCTGCATCCCTATCTTTCCTGCAAAGTGACTTGGCTTAGCCCCTGATCTCATTGTCAGGCATGAATGAAATGGGCTGGATGTTTGCTGGTGTGACTGCCCATTCAAAGAATTCCTTTCTTCTTCTCTCCCCTATCAGCTGCTGACAGAGCAGTGACTGGGGATGAGTGGGTGGGTGGGTGGGGGGCATCTCTAAGCCTGGCCACAAAGAGACATCCAGCAGAACATAAATTAAACTTTAGGCATCTGTTGCCAGAGAGAGAAATAGGAAAAAGAGCTAGAAGCCCAATCATGTGCAGGAGTTGGAATTTCTTATGCAGATTCTTAAGGGTACCTGGAAAATTCAAGGAGACCTCAATCCTGGGTAAATGGCCCAGGGAAACTTGGACACATAGATGTTCATAGAGGCACTGATTCTAAATGGGAAAAATTGAAACAAAACACAATTTAAATATTCATTAAGAGGGGAATAGATAAAACAGGGTGTCATCATACTATGGAATACAGTGGTTAGGAGGAATAAGCCAGATGGATGTGTATTACTACTAGTACATAGATCTCAAGAGCATACTGTAGAGTCGAAAAAGCAGACTGAAAGGCCATATATGTATGATATGTAAATTGGGACACAAACAACACTGTATACAAGGGGCTTCAACAAGTTCATGGAAAAATTCCATTATCGATTTAATCCATTTTATAACGAGCTTTTAGAAGCCCACTCATATTGTTTACCGACACATATACACAAATGAGTATGAAAACATAGAATAGAAAGATGCAGATAGAACTAGAGATCTCAGTAGTGCCTAGGAAGGAAGGAAGGAAGTGAAATTACAGGAGGATATAAAGAAGAATGCTGGTATGGTGCTGTAGAATCAGCACTGGACTGCGAACCACAAGGTCAGCAGTTCAAACCCACCAGTTGCTCCTTAGAAACCCTAAACAGGGTCACTATAAGTCAGGACTGACTCAATGGCACTTAACAACAACAAAACAAGAGAAATAGAACCTACCTCCTATTGTTACTATGAGAAATAAATGAGTTAATATACAAAGCATCTAGAACAGTACTCCATTAAACATAACACTTATAAAGTGATTGCTGTTTTTTTTCTATATTTACCAATTCACATGTCCAGTCAAAGATGAATATTTAATCCTATATTCCTATCCTCCTGTGTTCATTCATGCTCACCTCTTGGTATTACACCAAGTGTTCATGGACATTTCACTGGGCAGGCAGATCTTTTCTAAAGAAGGAACATTCACAGGTTTATATTAGACCACAAATGGGTCAAGTCCAACTCTTCTCACTTCTTGTTTTGCCTAATCTTGCCTTCTCCTAAGCCATCAAGCAGCAAGGTTCTTGGTGCCCCTCTTCCAACACACACACACACACACACATAATGGTTCATCCTAATATCTACATTAAAAACAAAAACAGAACAATCATAATGCCCTATAGCAACAGCACATATTATGGTGTGTCTTAAGTATTTTAAAAGCACAAGATAAAGACCAAATCTTACCTGAGAAGATGTGTATGTTTACCTTTTTGAGAGAGTGTAAGGAAGATTGTATAGGCTACAATTCACAGTAAATACAGAAGATCAAAAGCTGTGGTTTTACTGAGAAGTTGTACCAGATGTTATTTCCTGAGGCACACCAAAGTGGGTTTAATTCTGGGGTGAATAATACTACAACATTCAAAATAAATCCACTGAGGATAAGCCATGATCTTTACATCATAAAAACCATGAGGAGGGGGGTGATGAGGCGAGCAGGAGACAGTAATAGGATATGGGGAAAGCTCCAGAAAGAGAAATCTTAACAGAATGCTGCCATCTCTGGAGTCATCCCACAGGAAAAAAATGAATATACCTTAGGCCCTGTTTTATCCATTCCCCTCTTAATGAATATTTAAATTGTGCTTTGTTTCAATTTTTCCCGTTTAGAATCAGTGCCTCTATGAACATCTATGTGTCCAGGCTTTGGGACTAGCATTTTATAATGGTTAGTTCATTGAATTCGTACCACAGCCTCCTGAGCCAAATGCCATCATTGTCCCTATCTTAGAGATGAGAAAAGTGAAGTTCAGAGAGGTTGAGTTGTGGGCCTAAGTCATTTTTAAATGTTACACAGCTGGTAAGTGGTCCATTAGGTTTCACACCCAAAGGAACAGAGTCAGGAGGCCAGATTACTGACCAACATGCTGTCCTCTGGGGCTTCCCTCTGCAGATGCCTTGCATGCAGATAACAACAATGACAACAACAACACTCATCTGATTGCTTGTCTGGCATGTGATATACAAAGACACTCACTTCAAGTTTAAGCAGGGTGATTACAATTCTAATAGGTCATTCTAGCATCAATGTGGAAAAGAGATGACTGGGTATCTTCATTTTCAACAAAGCACATGCCTTTACCAACCAGGTAACACTTAAAATGCAATTGAACGCTGGGCCTCCTTCGTGCTCTGCCTCCTCTATGTCCCTGCCTACTGCAAGCCCCAAACCTCCTTAGCATTGTTACTGCAGTTACCCTGTCCTCATGGCATTTTCTAAACCATTTCTTTAACTCTCTTTTCAGTATCCAGTCCAGCCAGACGACGAGTCAAAAGTTCTCAACACCTCTTGGTCAAGAATGTAAGAAAACTTGCATTTTTATCTCTTTTGATTGATTTTCATTAAAAAAGCAATGTCCAGCTCCCTCCCTCTCCCTACCCTGTTCTCCATAATCAGGATACTGTGAGTTGTGGCTGCATTCCACTCTCTGTCCTTTAACTGAAGGAATTCACAACTATCATCCCAACTCCAAACAGTCCTGAATTGGACTTCTGTTCTGCCATTATCCCCAAGCAGTGAGTGTAAACCCCATCTTCTATACACATTTCTTTCTTGTTTACAAGAGTCCAAACTGATTCAACAGCACTTAACAACAGTGTATATATATATACTGAAGAATCACTAAGTCTTTCTTGTGCAAAGTTCACAACATGGATATAGAATTTCTTAAACTAGGTATTCTCTTCTTGTTGGCATTTGCAATGATGGAGGATAGAAGAGTAACATTTTAAAATGGTTTCTGCTTATAGCTTTGTCCCATATTACTAAACTGCTTCCTAGAAGTGCTGGGTAATTCCAGGACTCTTGGCAAAGCTACTTGTGTATATCCAACCTCATCTTTCTCCTGAAGAGGGACTGGTG